AGTGACTGATCCCATTGAGCGTGCTCTGGGCTGGGGCAGGCTAGTGAAAGCTTTAAAACCAGGGCTTAAAGGTCTGATTTCTCCCCCTCCGTTAACCCAGGAGGGCCCGTAAATCAGCAGACACCCTCCTGAACGTCCTCGGGTTGAGGAGGTGTCAAAATGGCACAAGCGAGAGCGGCGGCACCCCAAAGCCATCAGCCAAGAGAAGGGTCAGATACGTGCTAATGCTTCCTGCGGCGCAGGAGCTGGAAGCTCTGGAGGACATTCCCAAGCTGTGGACTTCAAGGACACGTCATGGAAGCCCAGCCCAGCTCCTGAGAGTCCCTGTTGGGCCTGAAACAGGATCAGGGCTCCTGGCTTTGCTCGGGCACTGGTTCATTAACCCCTGCCTTGTGTCACCCCAGGAGTAAGAGGCCACCGGCTCCCCTCGGGAAGCCGAATGCAAGTGGTTTCCTGCTTCTTCTTGCACCCACCACTAAGAGCTGCCCATGAGAGACCCTTTTCTTACTCTTTCCTGCCAGTGCCATTTCTCCTCCTCTTACTGCAGCCCCACATCCATGCAGAAGCATCATATTTATAACACGAGAGGGTCCAGACCCTGTGCTGGGTGGATGTAAGACCCTACTTTAAGCCACGCTGAGCCCCGGGAGGACAGGGACTGGTGTGATGCTGCAGCCCAGTGCGAGGCCATCAGCACCAGCAGCCCTGCCGAGCTCCCAGTGCTTTTAGGGTACAACCAGGAGAAGCCATAATACAAAGATAATCTGCTCTGTCACGTATTGAAAGGCCAAAGGGGTGGGAAAGGGCCACTGGGTCTGGCCACTGAACAGCCCTGATTTTGAGGCCAGAGCTGCAGATGTAGGTGCAAAGATGTGGGTAAAGATGCTGAGCAGCTCCCAGGGGATTTTCACTTAAGGATGTGCCACATTTCAACTCAGTTCCCTGCAAGCCCCACCGAGATCTCTTCCAAGCAACAGGGAAACCACCACTTTTCCAAACCCGTGTATTTAGGGCAGATCTGGTTGTTTAAGAATGAAAGATGGGCCTTATGGATGCAGGATCCACGGGGCACCTCCTTTGGACAGAAGCAAAGTGTGTGGTTGCTCGTTCTCACTTTGAGAAGCCAGGAAGGTGCCAGGGACAGTCGGGATGCTGAGCCCCAGGAGCAGAGCGAGCCCGTATCCACCCAGAGCCCTCCTCACCCTCTTCTGGGCATCACATTCTTGCAGCCCTGTGAGTTCGTATCTTGCTTTGGGGGGTTTGGGATGCTCCATGAATGCTCCCATCACCTCCAGACACATGTTCCTGCTCCCGGTTGCGTGTATGGGCTGACGTTCAGCTCTGTGCCCAGTCATTGCTGGTTAGACCTGTTTTAGACCTAAGTCTATTTAAGCTGAGTGCTCGGCAGGAGTCATGTTCCCGTGATAAACAGGGGGATTAAAGACCCTTCATGATCTTAAAGACCTCTCTGCTGAATAAAACAGCCTTCCTGGTAAAACCCCTCCTGTCCTGGGAGCGTGACAAGCTCACCCTGCTTATCATTCCTGGTTAATATTCATCCCAAGCGGCTCCAAGTGCTTGCCTGGAGGCAAAGCATCCTTTAGCTGAATAGATAATAACCTGCTTTGTGCCAACCTGCTGCAGTGTCTGGGTACCAATTACAAACCCCACTTGGGAAGGGAGGTAACGGGAGGAGGATTTGCTCAGCAAAGACCAAAAGGAGCTGGAGAGGCTGCGTCTGGCTCTGCCGTAAGTGAATTAACCCAGCACTTGCAATGGGGCTGTAATTCATAACGTAAAGCAGCTAATGGTGTCCTGGTCTCCACTGCAACTCGGGCTATTAAATATCAAAGGGTGAGGGAATAGCTGGATGTGGATATGCCCTTGTTAAACAGGAGACATCGTCCGGGGAAAGCGGGATTGAGCCCTCAGGCGAGAGAAAGCGGTGTTTGAAGTCCCCAAGTTCATGGGTTGAGCACATTCAAACGGTTCCTTTTGCTGCTGAAGAGGAGAAAATGAGGCTGGAAGCTGGGGGGGGGAAAACTGGTGGAGCTGCCAGGGATGATATTCCTTGCCCTTCATTTGTCTCCCTGGATTTATCGTCTTTGTCGTGCTGCCCTCACTTAACTGTCTATCCAGAAAGACCTTGGATAAATCTTCCCTCTGGGGCCTGTTGCTCTTGCTCAGAGGCTCTTTGCTCGGGCGGCTGCTCGGTTTCCCTGTGTTTATAAGCACGTCTCGTTGCACAGTGTTGGAGCAAAAGGGGACTGAAGGAGCTGGGGCAGAGCCCCCTCCCCGCGCCAGGTCTGCTCACAATGCGCTGGCAGCAGCAGCTGCTCCAAACAGCTCCTCGAGATCCCTCTGCAGGAAAGCACAATCCCATGGGATGAGCTTCCTCCCACCCCGGCACCTTTAAAAGCATCGTGAAGTGGGGCCGTTCACTCACTGCTGGTTAAACTGGTCAAGGGGACCCCAGACTCCAGTGCTGGGGAAAACCAGGCTCTCCCGAGCTGGGTCCAGCGGCTGAGGGGCTGTGGTGGCAGGAACCAGCTTTCACTTTCGGTTTGAGTTCCCAGAAGAGACGAGGAGTTGCCTAAATCCTGGGAATTCTTGTTTTCCATTCGGGAAAGGGCCATGTGAAATCCCGTCCGACCTCTCTGCTCCCATCCTCACGCTCTGGCAGGATGCTCCTTGCTCTGGCACTGGGCATATTTAGAGGTCCCATGTTGCCTCCAAAGGGTGTTGTGTCCCTCCACAAGTCAGTGTCCATGGAAGGTAGACAGGTAGAGGAAGAGCTGTTTTGTGCCTTGAAGGCTCCATCTTCATGCCCATAGGAGCAGCCTTCGATGAGGGATGCAGGACATGGGTAAGGATGCAGGACCAGACGGGGTTGGGGATGCTTGGTCCCACCACCACCAGCCCACACTCTGCTGGGGCTCCCATGGGACACCCCGACTGCTGTGTAGGGACAAGGGGTGGTATCACCATGCCGTGCCAAGCTTCCCAGAGCAGGGAAGCAGCCTGGAGCAGGGAGAGCCACAGGCATCCATCCATCCCTCTCCAAGTCCCTTTGTGCAAGGACATGTCAAAGGGGTTCCCATTCATTTCACCAGCGGAAAACCCTTTTTCCCATCAAAAACTTCCACCTTTCTATTAGAAGAAGGAAAAACTCAGCACTGAACCTGTGCAGGGGGCCCGGGTTCGTCTCCATGATAAGGAGGCAGGTCCTCAGGATGAGTTAAAACTGAGACACAATTCCAGAGCCAGCCCTCACGAGCATTAACCCATCTGCTGGTTTATGATCCCAGCTCGCTCCGTCTCAGCCCATGGAATGCCTCTGGAACGAGCCCGTATTTCACTGCCAAGTGTCATGGGAATGCACCTGGGAGCTGAGAGGCAACGGAGGAGATGCATCGAGATGGGGTTTGCATTTAATTGCCTTTGACAGGGGCTGCACCTGAGCAGAGACGAGGGGGTTGATGCAGGAGGGAGGGAAGGGTTGATGATGGTTGCGGCTCCCCGGCTCCATGGTCAGGTCCACGTCAGCCCCGTGTCCATCCATCCATCCCCAAGCCCTGCACGCTCAGAGCAGGACCGGTCCCCTCTGGAGGCTCCTGCAGCCCCTCAGCACCCTTCACAATCACACTGGAAAAGACCTTTTAGATCCAGTCCAACCATTACAATCATGCCCTTAGTGTGTTCTTTGGTGTTAGACCTTGTTTGCTTGACACGTGGCTGTTCCATGAGGATTATCCAGTTTTCTCTGCGGCTGAGATGCTCGTGCTGATGCTTCCCCCAACCCAGGACATCCCTTCGCTGCGCCGGTTGGACACCAGCCTTTCTGCACCATTGATGTGCACAGACGCCACCGCGAGCCTTTGGGAGCACAATCCCAAAGGGGCAGCGATGGGACACGTCAGGCTGCGGGGATCCTTTGTCTCTGCTGCAGACAGGATGGGCAGGGGCTGCATTACCTCAACCAGCGCCCAGGGCTGACTTACTGGAGGGTTTGATTTATTCCTCTCCAGGCTCCTCTATAAAGGTCTCGGCTGCTGCACAAGGAGGGACTGGAAAAGCAGGAGGCAAAGCCGGGAGGGGATGGAATAAAAGCAGGAGCGGGGGGTGATGGGGAGGAGGCCCAGAGCCACCAACATGAAGCCCCACAGGGCTTGGTCCCTGCCTGGCTCCTGTCAC